GATCGGCTGCGAGAACAGTCCTGGGGTGTCCGTCCTGCTGCTTCAGGCCGCACTCTAAGGCCATGTGTGAAGGCCCCCCCCCCCACGGGCAGAGAAGGCCAGAGAAGAGAGACAAAGGGACAGACAGGAGCAGGGATTGGGGCTGCTTGGAATCTGGTTCCCCGTGGTCCAGGGGAACCCCCGGTTTAGCCGTGTGGCTCCCCCCAGAGGTCCACACCCCAGGCTCCCACCAACGCGGGAAGGTAGCTCCCTGCTAGGAACTTGGGACAACCCATCGCCTCCTCCCAGGACGTGGCCACGGAGCCCCAGCTTTGGGGAGAAATTCCTGATGTCTGCCTCCCCTCCCCCCCCCCACCCCCCGGAGCACTTGGGAGCACACAGTATGGCCATTGAGACCAGCCAGGTCCCCCAACCACACAGTCATAAAAATACCAGCAATGTGAAAATAGAGAGAGAGAGAGAGAGAGAGAGAGAGGGAGCCCCAGAGCCCCAAAGATGCCCAGTCAGCGCACACACGCCCCCCCAATGAATACATGAGGATCCCCCGTGCCCCGCCCCCCGAGGAACCCCTGCGTATCTGCCAATCAACCTCGGTGGGAGCTGAGAACTCATTCCAGGTTCAGCTCTGTGCCTGGTCCCAGGGGACGTTGGTCTCCTTGCCGGTGTCTTAGGCACAGCACACAGTTGGCTCAAGTTCAGGTTACACACCCGAGAGGGAGGCAGCTGCTGCCTGGCCTGCTGGGGAGAGCCGGCTGCTCCCGCCTCGTCCGTCAGTTCAGCGGTCCGCAACCTGTTCGTCGTCCTTGGTGTCTCCCTGCCTGCGTCTCCTACGTGTTTCGTGGCAAACCTGGTCAACACCGGGCACAGGGACAGCCCCCGGCCTCCTGTGGGGGAGTCGTTTCCCCGGTTAAACCGTGTCCCCGAATACGCACTCCGCCCGCTGCAGTGGGTGCTCCTCTGGGAGCCACCGAGCTACCGAGCGACAGTGCTGTGCGGGTCCTGCTCCGCTGGGCGCCCGCCGTCCGCGCTGTCCCTCTCACTGACCTCTGTGTCCT